GCCGGGGACACCTTCTGCTGGGGGAGGCAGCTCCACAGGGGTCCAGCACCGCTGCAGCATCGGTACCCGCAGGGAACCCCAATCCCTGCTCCCCTCCGCAATAGGGAACCGGGTGCATGAAAGGGGAAGTGACCCACAAAGAGCCCATGGGGCCCGGAGCAGGAGCAGGGCTGAGCCCCTCAGGTCACTGTGGGGTGGGCTCTGATGGGTGCTGAGCCCCTCAGGTCAACCCTGGGGTGGGCTCTGATGGGTGCTGAGCCCCTCAGGTCAGCCTGGGGTGGGCTCTGATGGGTGCTGAGCCCCTGGCGCTGCTCCAGCAGCTCTGCCTCCTGTCGCCATCATCACCCACATCCTCCACCAGCCACAGGGAGGAGGCAGCTTCCCCCCACCCCGGAGAGGAGGGGCCAGGATCGCTGCAGGCTCAAGTCCCTGTGGGAAGTGCAGGGCTGGAGGGACCCTGCTCCGGGGCAGCCCGTCCCGAACCCCCCCCCGCCCCGCTTCCAGCAGCCGGGAAGCTCCTGGGGCCGCCCAGCACCACCCGTTAGCTCGGTGCAGGCATCAAAGCGAGAGCTTCCCACCTGGGGCATCCCCACCTTCGCTGCGGGCTGTGCCCTCATCCTGCCTTCCCCACCTGGAGGGGCCCGTTCCTTGTCGATCAAACGATGCTTGTTTTGCTTGAGCTTCACCCGTACCAATGGGCCAGGCTGATTCCCATGCTCCAGGCGATGGATAACCCATGTGGGTACTGTGGTTTGCAACCACGGGGATGGTTCCTTGCTGCAGGCAGGCTCCAGGTTTCCTCAGCTCAACAGCACTGGATGCGTCCGGGTCTCAGGGAGGACCAGGACCATGTCCCCTGCTCTTGCTTGCAGCTCCCGGAGCCCCTTATGCCCTTCCGCATGTACAACGAGCTGATGGGCCTGGCCAAGGAGAGCTTGCAGGGTGGAGAGGCCAAGGGCAGGAGCGGCAAAGGGGGCCCCGAGCTGGAGGACAAGGGAGCCGACACCGACAGGGTGGTGCTGAACCTGGTGCTGAAGCTGAAGGAGCTGCTGAAGGAGCTGCCCCGGGAGAACATGGCCACGCTGCAGTACCTGCTGCAGCACCTGAGGAGGTGAGAGGGGCAGGCCCGGGGGGCATCACCCCTAAGGGTGGGAGGGTGATGGATGGGATAAGGATGGGAGCCTCCCCACTGGTCCCATGGGGACAGCATCCGGGTCTCATGGCCACAGGTACGTCTCTGAAGCTGGTGTGTGCCCCGAGGGGACCCCTGTGTTACCACCCCAGCTTCTCCTCCAGCCTGGCTGCACCCTGCCCATCCACGCATCCCTCCTCCCTGCTTCCTTCCTCACGAGTTCCCCCTTCCCCAGGATCGTGGAAGTGGAACAGGACAACAAGATGACCTCAAGCAACCTGGGCATCGTCTTCGGGCCAACGCTGATGCGCCCGAGGCCCACGGATGCCACCATTTCCTTGTCCTCGCTGGTGGATTACCCGCACCAGTCTCGCATCATCGAGGCGCTCATCATCTTCTACCCCACCATCTTCGAGAGCAAGGAGCCGGCGGCGCTGGGCGACTGCAGCAAACACGCTCCGGATGGCGCAGGGGAGGCGGGGACCTGCCCCGAGCTGGTACGAGCCTGGGGAAGGGAGCACCCGTAGGGGCCACCCTGCCTGGAGCAGCTCCTCCACACACCCCCTGCTACCCCATCCCCACTGCCCCATACGGTGCTATGGGGCCGGCCAACACCATTGCCCTTCCCTTACAAAACCTGCCTCGCTCCATCGCATCCCCCTGCGCATCCCCACTCCTCTTGCGAGGGTTTTGCGCCCCAGGACAGCGCGAGGCAGGGATAGGGCGCACACGCGCTTTTCCACAGGGATATTTCCCCCCTCCCGACCGCGTTGTGGAGCCACGACAGGAGCTTTCCTCCCCTCCTCTCCCCTGCAGGGCTCCCCGTGTCCCACAGAGCCTGGGGACCGCTCCGTCGACTCGGACTCGGAGCTGGAGGACAGCGGGGACGCGCTGGGGACCTCGCACGGCGCCGCCCGGGCCCGCCTCACCCAGCGGGAGAGCGAGACCAGCACCGAGGATGCTCCGGGCTGCGAGGACGGCAGCGAGGGCCCGCGGAGCCGCAGCTGCAGCACCGGCCCCTCGGATGCGGAGGGCTCCGCTCCGCGCGGCCGCAGCCCCCCGGGGGACGAGCACAGCGATGCCGAATGACCCGAGCGCTGCCTCCCCGCTGCCGAAGCGGAGAGCGCCGCATCCAGGCGCTGTGGGTGATGCTGGGGGGGGGGGGGGGACGGGGACGGACGTGATCCTTGCTGGAGCTTTCACACGAGCCCGCTGAGCCCCGCGGCTCCAGGAGGGTCCATGGGGTCCGGCTGCGCCTGCTGGGAGCCCCCCGCGCGATCCATGAGGCTGGAGGGAAGGCGCTGGAGCAGGGCAGCCCCTTCGCTTGTTGCTCAGCCTGAAGCCGGGTCTCGTTTTCACTGCGCTCCTTAACCCCACACGTCCACTGCAGCCATGGAGGTGGGATGAGCCCGAGGGTCCCATCCTCCTCCTGGCTGCAGCTGGGAGACACGGGGGCATTCCTGACAGCGGGAGAAGGGCGCTGCACCTCCCTGGGAAGGGGACACGGCCCAAAGGGGTGCTGGGGCCAGATAAAAGCCACCTGCACCCTTGTGCATGGGGCCAGCCTCAGCTTCAGGCTGCACCATGTGCCAGGTACATTCATCGTTTACAACCGGCTGTAGCAGGCACCCGAAGCCCAGCGATGCATTTACTGCCTCAGCACATCCCAGCCCGCTACGTGCCCTCCCTCTGCATCGCTGCTTGTATTTATGGGCATTGCCTGCTCAGCAGGAGCCACGCCAGGAGCAGGCGCAGGCTGTGAGCAGGCTCAGGACCAGGCTGTGCTGCTGCAGGGCCCCATCACTCAGGGGGGTTGCTTTGGGACACATTTGGTCCCCAAAAGACTGAGCTGCGAGTCCAGGACCTCATCTGTGCCCTCTGGAGATGGAGCAGGTCCCTGAGGGGCGATGCCTCCTCCTCCTTCTTCTCTTCCTCCTCCTCCTCCTCCTCAGGACCTCCATGGCCTGAGGCGAGTCACAGCCCTACCAGTGTAGAGGCTTCTCCTTTTATGACTCCACTACCTCTGCTGGCTTAACAAGGGTTACACGAGACCAAAGTGTTTGAAAGCTCCGAGTGCTCTGCACTGAAGAACAGAGACATGAGCCCATTTGCAGCTTATGAAGAGCTGGAAGCTGCTGCCTTCTCTCACCCTGCTCGTACCTGGGCTGCACCCTGCTGTCACTGAGTGAGGACCACGATGGATTGGATTGGATGGATTGGATGGATGGATGGATGGATGGATGGATGGATGGATGGATGGGTGGATGGGTGGATGGGTGGATGGGTGGATGGATGGATGGATGGATGGGTGGATGGGTGGATGGATGGATGGATGGATGGATGGGTGGATGGGTGGATGGGTGGATGGATGGGTGGATGGGTGGATGGGTGGATGGGTGGATGGATGGATGGATGGATGGGTGGATGGGTGGATGGGTGGGTGGATGGATGGATGGATGGATGGATGGATGGATGGATGGATGGATGGATGGGTGGATGGGTGGGTGGATGGGTGGATGGGTGGATGGATGGATGGATGGGTGGATGGGTGGATGGGTGGGTGGATGGGTGGATGGGTGGATGGATGGATGGATGGATGGATGGGTGGATGGGTGGATGGATGGGTGGATGGGTGGATGGGTGGATGGATGGATGGATGGATGGATGGATGGATGGATGGGTGGGTGGGTGGGTGGATGGGTGGATGGGTGGATGGATGGATGGATGGATGGATGGATGGATGGATGGATGGATGGATGGATGGATGCACAAGGGCAGCTCACAGCAGCTACTCACAGTCCCTGGTCCTGAAGGAACTGCATGAATCCAAAGCTGTTTCCCAACAATCAGCCAGGACCTGACAGTATAGAACCGATCAACCAGGTCCCCTCAGGATCCATCCTGGCACAGGGGGTCACTGCTGGAGCTCTCCAGAGCAGTGGGAACAGTGTCTCAGCAGAGCAGGTAAAGGTATACACAACCCCCAGTGAAATGGCTCAGAACTGAGCTAAAGAAGAGTGAGAGATGCCCGAGGGACATCCTGCTCCGCAGCACAGCACCGGCCCACTGGGAAGAGGCGGTGAATGCTCCATCCCTGGCAGTGTTCAAGGCCAGGTTGGACAGAGCCTTGGGGGACATGGCCTCGGGTGAGGTGGGCTGGAACTGGATGATCCTAAGGTCCTTTCCAACCCGAACTATTCTATGACTCCATGATTTTTCCAGGTCATTCCAGGGTGGCGAGAGCAAGGAGGCTGAGGGTCGGCTCCTGCTCCCGCACTGCACCACAGGCGGTACCAGGTGTATTTGGGAGGGTGGGTGACTCACAATGAGTGTGAGCGAGGGGGGGACGGGGACAAAAGCTGCGCTTGAGCTTCCTGTGGCAACGGGTACCTTGTGTTTGTGTGTGGATTCAGCACAGGAACAGTGGAGCTGTTTGTTCCAACACGCCCGTGAGCCGGGTGTGACACAAGCTGGGATCGGCACGCTGCCAGGAATAAAATCCCTGTGTTCCCACCCCTGTCCTGGAGATCTCAGTCCGCCCGATCGCAGGGGGCTGAGCCCCAGAAGCACTCGAGGGTTTCCAGCTTAAAAGCCCCTCATGAGACCTGGAAGAGATGGAAATGGAAGTGATGGAGGGTGGCGAGCGACTGCTCTGCGGAATGGGAACACCGAGGTCTCAGCCAAGGGCCAGAGGGCAGAACAAGGGAACCGAGTCAGCGACAAAAGGCTGAGAGCTCTGGGCTTGGCCATGTCCAAAAATGCACCAGAGCTTCAGCAGCAAGGCTCTGGCCATAACAAGTCCAGGGAGGTGCCAAGTCCAGGGGGCTTCGCCCCAGGGAGAGGCTGAGGAGCAGCAGTGAGGAACAACGGGAGGGCAAACCTTTATTCAAACAAGAGTCTATAGAACAGAACAGGAAAGTAAAGGCCTTTTGCCACTCGCTTCCTCCCTGCACACTTGTGCTGCTTCAGATAACTTCCATGGCTCGAGTCCTGAGCAAGGAGTTACAGGAACGTCCTCACTGGCAAACAAGGCATGAGGCCAAGGAGCATGCAGAGGCAGTGCAGAGAGAGGGTTTGCTTGGCCAGCTACGGAGAGGCAGATGTCCGAGTGTGGGTGGATGGGTAGATGAGGAGGAGTCACCCAGCTCTTCCACACCTGGAACAAAGAGAGCTCAGGATGCGATCCCCCTCGGCCATGCTCTGCTCTGTCCTCTCACCAACAGCTCCCCCCCGAAAAGCAATTAAGAGCTGAGATAAGCTTCTCCCAGAGGCAGCTCCTTCCAGTCCATGCTGGAACGCCCAACAGTCAACCTCAGGCGCTGCCCTTACCCGGCAGCTCCGTGTCACTGCACCAGCCTGTAGGTGATGTACCGGCCCGCAGTCTCGCTCGGCCTGATGATCTTCACTACCTGGAACACCAACAGAAGGGACTCATGAGGGAGAGAACCCGTGGGGCTTCCCTTGCAAGGCTCCCTGCCCGACTCAAGTGCACTCAGCCCCTATCAGCACTGAGCTCCCCCCTTCACCCAGCTCCCCACAGCCAGGGATGTGCGAGGCTTACACCCCTCTACACCCAACCTACAGCAGCTTTTCCACCTGGAAGAGACACCCTTCCTGCCTCTGAGAGCTCTGAACTGCTGCAGAGCATCTGCCCTGCCGGCAGGGAACTGCTCCCTGAGCCTGTTTCTCTGTTACCTGGCCACGCTTTATCCCGAAGTACCGGGCCACGGGATCACCAGCCTGGATGCGTGGGAGCTGGTTCTCCCTCAGCTTACTGCAGAGAGTCAAGGAGAGGCTCCTGCAGCAGGGACAGAGCAAGAAACCGGCGCGGACGGGTGGGATCATTTCCAGCCCGAACGAGAACGCAGGGCTCCAGAGCAGGGAGGGCAGGCACAAAGGATACTATCTGGCCAGCAGCTCCGTTACTTCTTCCTTTGTCATGACAACGTGCTCTGGGACCAACTGTGAACGAGGAGAGAGGCTGGAAGATTGGGAAGGCAGAGAAAGAGCCCAGCCCCTCACCCCAGCGGCAGCTCCTCCTGCTCACCTCGTGCTCGGTGATGTTGATCAGCAGCTCCTGCTGCAGGAACTGCTCCAGGATGTACTTGGGAGCCATGTCCACCAGCGACTGCCGAGGGAAAGCTCTGTCAGGCGGCAGCACGGCTCTGGCCCTGCTCCTTGGCAAACACCCACAGGCAAAACGTGCACAGATCATCCCTCACCCATGCCCTTCCCCTCCCGGCTGCCCCTTTGCAACCAGAACCTGCTGCTGTGCTTAAATACACTTGGGTTTAAAGCCAGAGCCTGTATTAAGGTACAAAAGGCGAAGCAGGAACCGCACTCCTCAATGGCTCGGGGGCAGCCTCCTCCTACCTGCTTCGCCGAGGGGGTCATGCCCTGCTGCACCACGATGAGCGCCCGGGTGATGTTCTCCTCCTGCATGCGCTGGCAGTACATCTTGATGGTCTTGATCCCCACCTTGGGCTCCTCTGGGAGAGAAACCACTCGGGGTTACCGGGACCAACACCCCCTCTCCCTAAGCGTTTCAGGCCTAGCGGGGGCCCGGCGCCGCTCACCGGGGAAGAAGACGAACATCTGATCGGTGGGGTCGTCGTTGTGAGCCACCAGCACGGTGAGGTCGGTGCGGCGGGGCCGGCCCTCGCTGGGTTTGTCCCCGAACTGCGCCTTGAACTCCTCCAGCGTCTGGTCCAGCTCGTCCTGGGTCACCAGGTACCCGCGATCGTGGCAGAGCTGAGGGAGGCCGCGGGGCGGGTCAAAGGACTGCGGGCACCGGCCCTGGGTCCCGCACCCCCGGTCCTGCACCCCGGGTCCCGCATCCCGAATCCCGCACCCCCGGGTCCCGCACACTCGGTCCCCGCACCCCGGGTCTCGCATCCCGGGTCCCGCACCCTGAATCCCACACCCCGAATCCCGCACGCCGGGTCCCGCACTCCGAATCCCGCACACTCGGTCCCCGCACCCCCGGTCCCGCACCCCCGGGTCTCGCACCCCGGATCGGGCACCCCGGGTCCCGCACCCTCGGGTCTCGCATCCCGGGTCCCGCACCCCGGATCGGGCACCCCGGGTCCCGCACCCCCGGTCCCACCTGCATGACGGTCTTGCGGATCTTCCACAGCCGGTACGTCTCCTCCTCATCGTCCATGGCGCCCCCTCGGCCTCCGCACGCAGCACTGAGGCGGCCCTGAAGGCCTCACCTCAGGGGCTGCTGGGAACGTTGGAGCGGCCCTCAGGAGGGGGGGGGGGGGACGGGGACGACGACGACCGGTGCCTCGCCGCCGGTTCTCCGGTTGTGTGCGGCCTACACCGGACAGACCGCGGAGCACGCTCCGGTCAGGAGGGAACCGACGGGGGGGAAGGGGGACCGGGCTGCAGAGTAGCTCTCCGTCCGCCATTTGTTCCGTGCCTCCCCCCTCCACTGTAATGGTCTCGCCCAACGCCCTGATTCCCGCTTTGCTCTCTCATCCATCCGGCAGGACTCCTCCCCCCAACCCATCGCTCTGATTGGCTGAGCAGCCATAAAGAGGCGGTGCCTCCGTGAGTCCGCGCCGCCCATTGGCTGAGGGCCTGCGTGGGGAAAGGGGGGGGTGGCCCGCGATGGGATGGGGTCAGGCGGTGCGGAGCGCGCTGCGGGGCGCGGCGGTGGTGGCGGGGCCGGTGCGGGGCATGGTGAGAGCGGAGGGAGCGGGACGGGGGGACCAGGGCCGGTGCGGGGCATGGTCAGTGCGGAGGGAACGGGACGGGGGGACCGGGGTACCGGGGCCGGTGCGGGGCATGGTGTAGTGCGGAGGGAGCGGCGGTACCGGCGGTACCGAGGCTGGTGCGGGGTATGGTCAGTGCGGTGGGACCGGGGGTACGGGGGGCGATGCGGGGCATGGTCAGTGCGGAGGGACCGGGGGTACCGGGGCTGGTGCGGGACATGGTGAGTGCGGAGGGACCAGGCTGCGATCGTGACCGGAGCCTCACGGTTGAGGGGCGGGGAGGGGGGGGGGGGCGCGGGCCCGGCGAGACCCAACCCGTCGGGGCTCGGGAGCGGGGCCGGTACAGGGGGGTGCGGGCGGTGACGGGGCCTCCCCGCGCTCCGCAGTGCGCCCAGGCGCAGGACTGGCGTTCGGCCAAGGCCATCTACGACTTCCACGCCTTGGACATCGATGGCAACGACGTCTCCCTGGAGCAGTACCGGTAGGGCGGCGGTGATTGCGCCTCACGGGGACGGTCGTTGTGTAATCGGGGGGGGGGGGTGGTGGTTGGCACCGCCACCGAGCCGCTGCCTCCCGCGCAGGGGATACGTGTGCATCATCACCAACGTAGCTTCGAAATGAGGAAAGACCCCGGTAAACTACACTCAGCTTGTTGACCTGCACGCCCGATACGCTGAGAGGGGTTTACGCATCCTCGGCTTTCCCTGCAACCAGTTTGGGAAGCAGGTAGGTGCGGGAGCGGGCTCTGCATGGGGAGGGTGGAGAACGTATGGGCTCACACCGAGCCCTTGTGCTGCCCCTCGCAGGAACCCGGGGACAACGCTCAGATCAAGGCATTTGCTGCGAGCTATGGGGTGAAGTTTGACATGTTCAGTAAGATCGACGTGAACGGGGACGATGCTCACCCGCTCTGGAAATGGATGAAGGACCAGCCCAAAGGACGAGGCACCCTGGGCAAGTGCGTGAGGGGAACGGGGCAGGGGGGGGCTGGCTGCAGCAAGAGGAAGGGGTTTTCTCTGCCCAATCTCACTCCTGTTTTTTCTCTCCCAGTGCAATAAAGTGGAACTTCACTAAGGTAGGACACAGCCACCATCAATTGCTGTCTGCAGGGGGGCTGTGAGGCTCTGCTCTCTGTGGTTACCCTGGATGTTGGGGTAGCAGCAGCCCAAGGGGTTCCTGGGTGGGTGGGGGGAGCAGGTCTGCGGGGGGGCTATGGCTCTGCAGGCAGGATCAGCCACAGCCAGCCCTCAGGTTCACCAGCTCCCCGGGTGCTGCTTCCCTCCACAGTTCCTCATTAACCGGGAGGGCCAAGTGGTGAAGAGGTACAGCCCCATGGAGGATCCTTACGTAAGTGCTGCCAGACCCACGGGAGGAGGGGAGGAAGCTGGGGCTGAGCCCTGTTTGGGGGAAAAGAAGCCCCCAGTGCTCCCAGGAAAGCGGGTGCCCACCCAGGGTGGGTGCAGACTCAGGAGTCCCCTGGGCTGAGGCTGGGGGGCTTTGGGCACGGTGTTGGGGCAGTGATGTTCTCACAGCACCATGCTCCCCTTTTCTCTTGCAGGTGATCGAGAAGGACCTGCCTGCCTACCTCTAGGTCTGCTCCTCTCCCTGCTCTCGCCCTGCCCAGCGCCTGCCTCCCGCTGCCCATGGATTCTCCTCCTCCAGCCCCGATGATGGCCTGTCTTCAAGCCAGCTCGCTGGTGAGGCAGACCTGAACCCAGGCGTGCAGATGCTGGACGGAGGCTTCACGGGGCCGGTGGCCGCTGCTGGGCCTAGAGCAGCACCCCGAGTCCCCTTGCAATAATAAATAGAGGTGTTAGAACTGACCCCTGCGTCTGGGTGTGAGCGGTGAATGGGGCCGAGCTGGGAGAACCTGGAGCTCTGCAGGGGAGCTGAGACCTTGCGCAAGGCCGGGGCTCAGCTAGGATAATCCTTAGGGCTGAGCAGGGAATTGCGCACGAATCCCGGCTCAGCCGCTGCTCCCAAGGGGCTCTGCGGGGACAAGCAGAGCAGGGGAAGGTGCGTGTCCTGTTGGGCTCCCCTCCGACCCTGCTCCATGTCCTGCCTGAGCACTCAGGGGCTGGTTTATGGGAGCTAGCGTGGTGCTGTTGTGTGAATCCCTGCTCTGTTCCCATTGCCTGCAGCTCCTCCCCATCCCACACGGACGGAGCGAGGCTGGACAACAACAGCTGGTGCTGGTGAATGCCTCAACAGCGGCTCCTTTATCGGTGTTTTCGGGTGGGAGCTGCTCTCAAGGACAGGCAGTGCCAGGGAGGATCCTCCTCTGCCCTGGGGGCCAAGTCCCCAGCTGCCACCACGTGTGACAAGGGAGATAACCAGCCCCTGGGCCTCGGCTTCCCCATCCTTATCCGAGCCCCGGAGGGGATCCTGCCCCTCAGGCCAGGCGGATGGACAGAGAGAGAGCTGGGACTTACAGACCTCACGTCTGTGGCTTCCTTTCCATTTTTACTGAGCAGAATGAAAAACTTCTTGGGAGGCAAGTAGAAAATCCAGGAATTATTAGTCAAAGGCACATATTCTAAAAAAAAAAAAAAAATCTCTTTACATATATACATCTCCATTATAAATACACATAGAAAACCAAAGGCAAACGACAAGCGGGTTAAAAAGTGCTAACCAAAAGGTGGAGGGGCAGAAGAAAACGGGCCCCCTTGCAAAACAGAGCCCATCAGTAGGACGACTGCATAATAATTTAGTTAAAAGCTATTGGTGCATCTTCTTAATCCTGACAAAAACACAGGATCGGGGCAGGGAAAGGCCTTCCTCCAAGGTGCTCTCTGGCATCGCAGAGATGAGGGGCGAGGGAATTGCATATCTTGGAACTCAATGGCAGAGCCTCCGGGGGGGAGGATTCCTCCTCGTTATCCCTGAGTTTCAGCCTCTCTGAACTGGGTTTTCCCGGAGCCCTTTTGTCTCCTTGCTGAGAGGTCAGCAAGCGCCGAGTGGATGAGCCGGGGCCTGTGCGGGGCAGTTTAAATAGAGGTGGGAATGGGGAGGGAGCAGGGAATGCTGCGGGAAGAGCCGGAGCTCCTGGGCAGCAGCCAGGGGCTCTTTGGTGTAGCTGTGAGGTAAAGGAGGTGCCATGAAGGGAACCACGGCCCCGGCTGCTGCAGGGAGGCAGATACTGGTTGGGGAAGGAAGGGGGTAGACACAAGGACAAGACCCCAAAGCAACTTTGGGGACGAGCCCACATGTGCATCACATGGGGCAGGTGCTTGTAACGTGGCAGGGAATGCAGCGCCCCATGGATGCTGCAGGCACGGACCCTAAGCACTTCCCAACAGCAAACAGGGCGCTGGGGCAGGCCTTGATCCTTGACAGGGGGGTCAGGGTGCTCTGCCCAGAGGAGGGGGCTCCCCCTGAGGAATGGCCCAGCCAGGGAAGCTTTCACGTCCTTCCCCTGCAAACATCCTGGTGTCACGACTAGGAAATGCCTCGATGGCTCGAGGCAGAGCACAGCAACAGCAGAGGGAAGGCTTCCTGCCCGCAGGCAGCTTCCTGCCAGGCTCCTCAGGTGCAAGGGAGAAAACAGAAGGCAGTTTCCCTGGGACGTGCCGAGGTGGGATGCTCTGCACCAGGGATGAAGCTGGACCAGGGATGCTGCAGCCTGCGGGTGCTCCTGGCTGGGGCAGTGCTTTGCAAAGCAGAGCTTTGCTCTTTGGTACTGGAGGTTCAATCTGCAGCATCAGCAGTGACTCTGCACATTTCTGGTGCTCTTCCCTCAGCCCTACAGAGGTGGGGGGCTGAAAGGACAACACGCGGCAGCACCAAGGTGACAGAGCACGGCCAGCCACAGTGCCATGGCTGGGCTCAATGCAGGACAGACCCATGGAGCCCTCCAGCTCCAGGGAATGTCCCCAGGGAGGCTGAGCCCTGACAAGGGTGCAGCAGCTCCTGCCCTGTCCCCTGGAGCTCCCGCAGCCGAAGGACAGAGCAGCACAGTCAGTGTTGCTGCTCTCAGCTGCTCTCACACACAGGGATGCTCGAGCTCAGCAGCTCCTGCCTCCTTGGGGACAGCATTCCCTTCCGCAGCCCTGCCTTCAGACCCAGCCCTCCAGGGCAGCCTCAAGGCTGGGGCAGCCCAAGAGGGAAGCTGGCAGCAGCCAAGACACATACAGTTTTGGTCAGTGGAGCCTCTGAGCCCTTCAGCAATGGCCCAGCCCCGGGCCGGTTTGGAGCCCAGAGGAGCGGAGCTTAGGGGCAGCAGCCGCAGCGTTGGGGGCTGGAGGGCTGGGGAAGGCAGGACCCAGCTCGGACACGCAGTAGTCAGCAGAGGGACAGAGGAGGGGACGCTGCTCCCCAGCACTGACCTTTGAGCAGGACTCAGACACAGCAGGGACCAGCAGTCCAGAGCAGCTGGAGGAGGCAGCGCTGGCCGCCCCTGACCCGTTGCACACAAGCCTGGCCATGCCCGAGCGCGCGGTACAGATAAACCAACTTTGCTTGAAGGAGCTATAGAGAGTTCTTTGTCTGCCCTCAAAACCAGGAAAGGGTCAA